TTCTCTGCCTGGAAGGCATTTGGAGGGCCGCCGCCGCCGCTGGGAGCCGTGCCGGGCAACCCAGCGGCAGCAGCGACGGACCTCTGAAGGCCTTCCCCACCACCATGGGAGGCCTCTTGGATTCCCCCCCGCCCCCGATAGTGCCTCCAAAGCATTATCAGCAGCGGCAGGGGACCTCCGAGAGGCCTTCGGCAGCAGCGCCAAAGCCCTCTGTCCTCCAGCAACGTTGATGGCTGCCGCGGGGGAGCTCCGAGAGGCTTCCGGCAGCCGCGCTGAAGCCCTCCAACAGCAGCAATGGCGGCAGCGGGGGACCCCTTGAAGACTTCAGAAAGGTAAGGTGTATTTTTTAAATTTATTTTTAATTTTATGTCTGTGTGTGGGGGTGTTTCTTGGACGGGTTACGGATTAATGGGTTTTCAATGCATTCCTATGGGGAATGCATTTCCGACCTACAGACTTCTCGACCGACGGACTCCGTTCCAATACGGATTAATTCCGTAGGTCGAGACCCCACTGTAATTGCGAGACAGTTTGCAAAACAGGTCATGGGAACTTGGTTGAACTTGGGGTCCTGTTCATCCCTCATCCTTATCCGATCTCTTGCTGCATGATTTAATCCTTCATGGCTCCAAAGGAACATTCCCATTCAAAGTAAAAAACTTCCAAACCTTGCCACCACCAGCACTCCATGCGGTAGAAAGCATTCTCAGAAAAACACAGAAAGATGAATCTCGGCCAGATCTATGTTCCCATTCCACACACAACATCTCTGGCAATGAGAGCCAGAGATGACACAAGCCGCGTTGGTGGTACCAGAAGATGCGAAGCACATGGCGATCAGGATGGAGGGCACTTACCTTCCACTGGTGTTGGCATGGTTGGAATTCCAGGTTGGGAATAGCAGAGGTACATCTGCTGGTCCAGGCTGCGGAGGACATGGAACGTCGGGTGTGTGTGCTGCTGTACGAAGAGGTGTCCAGCGTTCACCTGGTTAACTACAATAACTTCCACAGTGACCCCATCGGGAAGCATGAGCTGCCACAGAGGAAGAAAGACAGGAAATTTCACATCATCGCTTTGTCCGCCACATAGGGTTGTTGAGGACAGGAGAAGAGTTGGGGACACCCAGCTAAATCCATTGTGGCTGCTTTCCTGAGAAACAGGCCAGCCTTCTTGCAAGACTTTTCTTCCCCTACGGAAATATGTGCACCTTTTGCTACACGATATCCTCTGATGTACAACCTTTTCTTAGTGTGAATCTTTGTGGTCCATCCTACCCATGAACAACAACAGTTTTGTCCCACTCTTCATCCTTACAACCCCTGCGAGACCGGACAGGCTGAATAGGGAGAGACTGGCCCAAGTTTTCCCACCCAGTAAGTTTCATCACTCACTGGGGAGTAGGCTCCCAAATCCCAAGTCAATAAACTCTATAATAACCTCCACAAACTGGTTTACCCCTTTTCAAAGCCATTCCAAAGCTAGCCACACCATCCTTTCTCTCCAAAGATACTGGTCAGCCTCCTCCAACCCATTTTTCCCTTTGGACCCCGAAACCCAAGACACCATTAATTCTCATCACAGCACAGGGTGTCCTGTCTTCCTTGATCAACTGCCGGCATGATGCAGAGGGATTCTGGCTAGTGGAAGGCCAAGCTTACCCAGGAGGTCATCGGGAGGGAGTGCAGCGGCAGTGGGGGAGGGGGCGGCGCATAGATGTTGGTGAGGCTCAAGTCTTTGAACTTCTTGCCAATGAGACTCAGAGCCTTGTCGACATTTTGCTGAGAGCCTTGAAGGCAAGAGGAAGAGGAAAAGAGAAAACAAAGATTTAGATGCTTCCCCCCTCAAACAAAACTAAGACATTGAGCTTATCTACGTGTTTGCTGAAAAAGGCCGACCGACTCAAGAACCTATGTGATCAGATCACAACGTCTTCAGAATCTTGGCGATGGATTCTCGGAACGACAGTCCAAAACCTAACTCCTCATCACGGCAAGCAACTTTTTATTTATTTTTTATTTAATTTATACCCCGGCGATGGATTCTGGGAACGGCAGTCCAAAACCTAACTCCTCATCGCGGCAAGCGACTTTGATGAGCTTAGGAAAACGTGCCTGGAAATACTCCACCAAACTCTTTCCCCCATTTTCCTTTCGATGAGCTTAGGAAAATGTGCTTGGAAATACTCCACCAAACTCTTTCCCCCACTTTTCTTTCATGCTAACGAAAACCAGCGAAAACGCCACTGACACAAGATATTCACTATCACCACCACCCCTTCTCCCTCCAAGACTAGGTTAGGTGGATTTCTGGACCTATTAAAGCCACCTGTCGAAAATATATGCTGGACCTATTAAAGCTGCAACCCCCCCCCCCAAATAAAAACACCTTTAATGATTTTCTATTAAAGCCACCTGTCGAAAATATATCCTGGACCTATTAAAGCTGCAACACCCCCACCCCCAAATAAAAACACCTTTAATAGGTTTCTGGACCCATTAAAGCTGCAAAAAAAATCCTCTGTAGAGATAATTGACTGAAACCAAAAAGGCAATGTGAGAATTAGCATCATGGTTCAGACACAGCCTACTACACTAACTTCTATTAAAGCCACCTGTCGAAAATATATCCTGGACCTATTAAAGCTGCAACACCCCCACCCCCAAATAAAAACACCTTTAATAGGTTTCTGGACCCATTAAAGCTGCAAAAAAAATCCTCTGTAGAGATAATTGACTGAAACCAAAAAGGCAATGTGAGAATTAGCATCATGGTTCAGACACAGCCTACTACACTAACTTACAAGAGCCTGCCTCCAGAAAAGGGATCCCAACTGGGACGGGCCACAAATGCTTATATTCTAGGGATCCAAAGAAAGAAAGGCTACCCCAAATGTCTCTCGCTTATATTCTAGGGGTCCAAAGAAAGAAAGAAAGGCTACCCCAAATGTCTCTTCTTTGTATGTATCCCCTTCAATTAGAATGAGGCTGGTTCTCTTGCTCCAGCCAACTAAACCCCATGGGATCTTACATTATAGAGCTCAGCTGTGTTCGAGAAGGTCGTAACCTCTTGAGAAGAATCCTCCCTTGTCTGTGAGTCACTCCTTGTGGCCTTGACAGGCCGGCCACCCCCACAAGCTGCAGCCCTCCGCTCTGTGCCTTTGCTCGCTTCCATCTTATGGCTGACAGGTTTCCCATCAGGTTTGCTAGACGGGGCTCAGCTGGGCAAGTGAGTGGGTTACAAATCCAACCCCCCAACCTCACACCCCCTTCCCAAACATTCCTAAGAATTCGTTATAGGCTGGTTTGGACCACAAACTTTAGCTTCTGGGCTGCCACACACACAAGCATGTCCTAAAACACAACATGAGGAGGTCATCAACACACACAGAGAGAGGAAAACCCAACTTGATGAGTTATGAGCTACTATGGGGGTGGGGGCACTTTGCAGTGAAGCATTCAGTCTCTGAGAGGCCCAAACATCGGGCTTGGGAGGGTGATCTCTCCACGTTGCTTTCCGACCATCAGCACTATTCCCTGTGTCTCTGTCCCAAGGGGCCAAACGCACTGGGCTGGCCTCGGATATGGGCACCTGGATCGGAGGGCAAGGGAGGTGTAGTGCGTGCCATTGCTACTCAGTTGCAAAACGCCAAACATCTTTGGACGGTCCTGCTTCTACAGTCATCATAAGCAACCAACAAAACAGAGCAGCAAAGGGGTTATCCCGTTAGGCTCACCTTCTATATGGCAGATCTGGAAGTCCTGGGTGTAAGGTAGCGTGGAAATGTAGATTTTGGCACCAGACACTTGTTTCAGGAAGCTGACATACCTCCCTTGTTTGCCGATCAGGCGTCCGACTAAATGCTGCAGGAAAACGAGAAAATATGAGAAATTCTGGACTCTCTCACATGTATTTGAGAGAGTCCGGAAGTGCTTGAGCAGCTGAATTTCTAAGACGCAGAACCATGTTTATCATGGCTTTGTGAAAACTTCCCACTCCTGGGAAATGTCATTCGACCGAACAGCTCTTGAACGGCTCAAGAGCTGTTCAGAGCGCAGCCTTCATGCCATTCCAGGAACTGGTCTTGTTTACTTGATACTTGAACACAAAACTTAGGAACCTTAATTTCTGGGATTATGAAAACAAAGGTAGCCGTGTTGGTCTACACCAGTAGTTCCCAACCTTGGGTAACCCAGATGTTATTGGACTGCAAATCCCAAAAATCTTTCGCCACCAAGCTGCACACTGGCTGGGGTTTCTGGGAATTGCACTCCAAGAACATTGGGGTCACCCAAGGTTGAGAAACAACGGTCTACACAAAATCCAAAATCTACGGGTGGGCAACACAAGTATTAGGATCAAGAACAAATTATACCATGACATGTACACTTTTAACACTGAGCCTGGTGGCGCAGTGATTAAACCGCTGTACTGCAGCCAAAACTGTGCTCACGACCTGGGGTTCAATGCCAGGTAGCCGGCTGAAGGTTGACTCAGCCTTCTATCCTTCCGGGGTCGGTAAAATGAGTACCCAGCTCGCGGGGGGGGGGGGGGGGGGGAATTTGTATCCTGCATAATTAACTTGTAAACTGCCCAGAGAGTGCTTGAAGCACTATGGGGCGGTATATAAGCAGCATGCTTTGCTTTTCCTTTGCTTTCAGCTTAGTGTACCAATCTGAATGCTTCTACGATAAATGATAATTTACACCAGATACAAAGACTCATAGAGGGTATCTCAGACATGTAATAACGGGTTCAAGGTATAGGAAACCAGAATTAGAATGAATATCAGGAAAAACCTTCGAACTGTTAGAGCAGTAAGACAATGGATCCAATGACGTCAGGAGGTGGTGAACGCTCCAACACCGGAGGCATTCAAGAGAAAATTGGAAAACCATATGTCAGATCTGCTTTGACTTGAATTCATGCATGGAGCAGGGTGCTGGGCTCCATGGCCATATAGGTTCCTTCTGACTCAATTATCGTATGATTTTGTGACATTACCTTTGGTACCTCTATCTCCCAGATAACGAGCTCCGTCTTACTGGAGTCCAGTCCGCTCTTCTGGCAGCTGCCATTTTTTTGGACGGCGCAGCCACTGTCCACCGAATCCATGCTATTTACATCTGAGCCTAGGAAGCAGAGGAATGACCCACACGGATCACATTTTACATTATTATTGTTGTTGTTGTTGCTGTTCTTCGCTATTTATTCAATTCAAATCATGCCCTTTCCTCACGAGAACCCGCAGGGATTCCAAGGAGTTACTAACCTCTAAAAACTGCAAATCTCACATACAGAAATTAAAATTTTCTCAAATCACAGGTTGAAACGTCCGCTAAAATTACTATAAAACCAATAAAACTCACCGGTGAAAGACAAATGGAGCACGTCCTTATTCCTGAAAAGGCTCTAAAAATATGTTTTGAATGGATGCTTAAGTGATTAAAAATGTGGTGGAAAACTATCAAATCTCTGACAGAAGATTGTTCCATGACCAGTAAATATGTTTTGAATGGATTAAAAATGTGGTGGAAAACTACCAGATCTCTGACAGAAGATTGTTCCATGACCAGGATGCCATGAGAAAGCCCCACCATGTACGAATTTATGTTATTTTCAGAGTCCAGCTGCGTATTATACAGGAGATGTGTATGTGGATTGTCTCACTTAATTTACCTTCTTCTTTAAAAGGTGGGCAATATGTATGTGTGTTCAGTGCCGTCAAGTCAGAACCCACCTGTAGTGACCCTAATAGAGCTTTTAAGTTAAGTGAGTTATTTAAGGAGTGTTTTTTACCAATTCCACATTCCCAGGGAGTTCCCATATATAGCTGGTTTTCAACGTCCAGCAGTCCTAACCAGCAAAGTCACTGGTATGGAGAGTTTGGACTCACCCCCGTCCCACATCAATGGAAAACTGGATGTTATCTACCTCTGTTTGAAAAGGCAAATGGGGGTTAAGGGTGCAATCCAGAGCACAGTGCATAAAAACGGCTCCCCCCACCTCTGCCCACGGCCTCAAGTGTAATCCCTTCTGCAGAAGATGGAAACACACAGGGGTCTAAGACTGGAAACGTTCCGATCTGCAAATGAAAATACTGGAAAAGCGCAGAAGGAGCACGACTTTATTACTCTCCTTTGGTTACTTTTTAAAGAACATGACAGTGGATCATCTGTTAATAGTGGAAAGGCCATCACATTCGTAATCTCTCCCATAACAACCAGCTTAGGTGTTAAGGGGGAAAAAATACACACAAAACCCCACTGCATTTCTCTAAAGAGCTCCAGGAGCAGGGAAATTGGCTCCTGGAGCTTGCCCATTCGTTTCAGGCATATAAATATTTTAAATAAAATAAATAATTGTCACCGTGGATGAACAAAGCGATCAACACACCCTTTTCACCTCCCACCAGTTTTAACAGTGCCTGTCGCGGCGGAAGGACCAAGTGCTGTCGTGTCAGTAGGAGCCCCTGTAAGGTTTCAGGGGCTTACTCCAGAGTAGCACGCACAGGCTTACAAGTGCCAACCTAAAAAAATACGTTGAGTTTGTCAACGGAAGGGAGCTGGGCTTCCTCTTGCCCCCAGGACATTAACCCTTTCTGCCAACTCAGGCGGTTTCCTTCAGAGAGAGAAAGGGGAGGCCACACTGGGGCAACCCGTCTCCCTCCACTCCTGCAATCCTAGCCCCAGAGCGGGCATCACAAAGTGGGCATCACAACTGTTTTTCACTCTAATGTGCCAGAATTATAAAGAGGCATGGCTGCCCCACAATTACATCTGATTAGAGGTGGGCACGAACTGCCGGTTCAACAGTTTGTGCCAGTTCATTTATCAGCTGAACGGGTGCTCAGTGCTTCCGAGCCCCGCCTCCCCCAGCAGACGACCACTCAGAAGCAGCGCCAGGAGGAGGCGGGGCAGGGAAGCCAAGCCACTGGCCACAAGTGGGCGCCTGCTAGAGGAGGTGGGGCTTTGAAGCGCCAAGCACCTACCTGTTCAATCAATCAATGAAATGGCACAAACAGCTAAAGTGCCACTTCGTGTCCATCTCTGCATCTGAATTTGATATTTCAATCAGCTTTGGCACGGAGAACAAAAAAAAATGTTAGAGACACCATGTTTGTTAGGTTATCATTTTACCCAGAGCTTTTGAGTTTTAACTACCAAACTGAACTGTATCTGGTAATGAGGATGTAAGAAAGTTATATTTCAAAAGTAAAGTAAAAATGAGATATAGTTAATTACTAGTGTAATGTGTAAATTTAAAGGGCATTTTTGGCAGGAAATCAAGGTGGATAGAAATCATTTAAAAAAAAAAATCAAATTGACTTAAATTTTAAAATGTGACTTACAAAATATTAAATCGTTCAAAAAAATCCAATTTTTAAAATTTAAATTTTTGATTTTAATTAAATCCACCCTGCAGGATATGTTTTAAGTTTGATTCCTTTCTCATACTGATTCTAAGCTTTTTGTCTTTAAAGAAAATACAATCAAAGCATAAACAAAACAAAAAGCAAAAAAACTACAAATCCAGAAACATGCAGAACAAGTTACTTTTTAAGTACTATAACAAATGAAGGCAATGAATTGCTAACTCTGGTCCGTAGTGTTATTACACTACAACAAATAATAAGAATGCATTACTTAAAAAAATAATCTCCAGACTCTGATCTTATTCTATTAGGAAGGAAATTAGGTGATACACACAGTTATCACTACCCCACAACCTATAACGTAGGTTAGGTTGAAGACAGTGACTGGCCCTAGATTGCCGGGTAAGCTTCAAGGCTGAGTCGAGATTTGAACCCAGGACTCCTCAGTCTAATAATTTGCACCACTTCCAAAGACATATGCCGGTTGAAAACTGGAGGCAAAAATAACAGCTTTTCAAAAAATCACCAGGACAGCTATAATTTTAGGAGTTGCTCATGCAGTGTGCATGGCGGGATGATGATTATTATTGTCAAAGAAGACCAATACAAGCTCCGTACATCTGATGTGTAAAATGGAGTGTAGAAAACCTTTTGCTTCCGTGTTTGCTGTGAAATGGAGAACTCGCAATATCGAGACAGTCTTTTTACCAACAGAAGAGTTAATGGGCTTTTAATCACACCAGGCAGGTTTGGCAACTCTTATCACTTAAAACGCCAACAAGCTTCACCGAGCAGTCATGTGTGACATTACCAGCAGCAGTTCATACGGGAGTAATGCTCGACGGCCTATTGCTGTGAATCGCAGACGGGTTTTGCACCAGTTAACGGCTGGGTCCCTTTCTTTCGTCCAGAAGTAGGAATAGCAGCATTTGTATAATGCTTTAAGGACAGATGAGCGCAAACACACACCACACGGCCAGATAGGTCAATGTAACAGCTACCCATTTTTGTTAATAGCGTAGCCAAGACAGAACGGATTGCACTGCTTAACACGCTGGGAAGGAACCATACTTCCTTCCTCGCGATCCCACGGTTCACGATCCTCATTCCCCCGTTCTTAAAAAACCAGAAATCCCTCTAAGGCTTAGTTACTTGAAGTAAGAAACCTTATTGGATCAGAATGTTGGGAAGACATAGCTTTGCTGGTCAGACAGCCTTGTCAATACAGCCCCGCGAGCAGGATTCTGGGTGTTGACCTTCAACCAGCTCTGCATTTAGTTATGGTGGCGATGGACGTCTCTCCTCCACCAGCTCTGCTTAGAAGCCCATTAGCCATCTCCAAAGTTATGGGTCAAGGATGTCTACAGATTTCATGAAGGAAGACACCTTCTGTGCCCTGGATCAGCCATTTCTCAGGTGAGCCTTCTCAGGATGATCACAAGGCGAGGAAACAGAGCAGAGTTAGCCCCCTCCCCAGAGCATCCCTGCATTAAGACGAGGGGTGCACGACACCGGATGGCCTCGCCTGCCACTTTTCAACCAGCACCGTCCCATGCCAGCTGCCCCGCCCCTCATAAAGCCAGAAGAGACCCCAAGAGCATTCAATAGGCGATTCATTCCCCTCAAGACAGGAGCTGTGGAATAGGGTCTTGACGGGCTAATTCCCAGTTCTGATCCAATCCGTCTAAGCGTTTAGGGGCGGGGGAGGGGGGCAGAAAACAGGCAACGGGGCCGAGACTTACCTCCGGAGTGATCGGTGTCTGCTTCTCCGGGCCAGGCCTGCTCGTGTCCCAGAGGCGGGCCATCCTCCTTCAGCATGCCGTTGCTGTATGGGACCTTGTCTTCCATCAGCGTTGGGGACGGAGGCTTTTTGCTGGACGCCGAATGGCGCTCCAGGCCCGTGACCGCGGGCATGTTCAAAAGGTCCAGGCGCTGCTGCAAAGGGGGGGACGAGGTGCTTTTCAGAAGGTCCTCGGCGCTCGCCCCGTCTTCCGAGGCGCATGCGCTGCAACCAGAATCTTCCGTCACCCCGTGGATATCTTCAAGCTCCTCCTCGTGGTTTGTGACAGTGGCTGGGTCTCCCACAGGCCGGTCGTGACCGACAGAGTCCCTGGTGGGCTGGCCATGGCCGGGGTTGGCCAGGAGGCCGTGCGTCAGGTGACTTGAGAACACGGCGGGACGACTAATGTTCTCTTCGACGGGGGGAGGCAGTTCCGCTGGTGCAACCTTCTCAGCCCCAGGTTCGTTCTCCTTGCCCGATTCTCCCTGGCCAACGGCACCGGCAGACGCCTTTTCCGGGGGTCTATCCGTGCGACCGGCCATCTGGCACATCCTGCCAGACACACAGTCGGCAGATCCAGAAAGGACTTCCTCTGTGGCCGCTCGGATGACGTTGGAAATTATATGAATGGCAACCTGCTCGATCTTCTCAACTTCCTCTTTATCCAAGCTGATCCCTCCTAGCTTCTTCTTCTCCAAACTACCTTTACATCCGGCCTCTCCAACTCCCTGGTGCTTCAACAACATATTACCAGCGTTTGAACTGGACGTCACTGTTTCCTGGGCCACGTCGACGCTCTGGGGTTCAGGACGCTGATCAGCAGCCCCCCTGACTTCAGGCTCTACCGCACCGAGGACACCACCATTAAACTCGTTCATCTCTTTGTTAGCAAGCATAGGTCCTTCAGCAACGGCATCATGCGCCACTTCGGAACAGCGGGTCGGCACGCAACCAGGACTTGACGCGGTCGTCATAGGACATGGACCTTCTTTCAGTGACTCTGACGGACTGTTCTGGACCCCCCGGCCCTCGCGGCTCTCCCGTGACTTCTCTACACAAGGCAACTCCAGTGAAGCTGCTGTCAACAGCGCCTCTTCTGCAACTCGACTAGCGTCCAGCTTCCTCTCCACCGTAGCTTCACCGGCACAGGAGTGAGCTTTGCCTGGTGCACCTGGAAGAGAAGACTGAAGTGCAGGGGATCCAAACGCACCTTGACATCCCATCACTTCCAGTTTTTCACTGTCGTCCTGATGCACGTCCGATTTGACGGCTGGTTTTGCAAGGGCGGGCGGTTCTCTTGTTGAGGAACCCAAGCTCCACTCCCGGTGCTCCGGAGGAGGAGGAGGAGGCGCCTGCCGTTCTAGCAAAGGCTCTAAGGCCACCGCTGATTCTACAGGCAGCTTGGCTTCTGGAGGCAACGAGAGTTCACTGTTGGAGGGAAAGTCTTCCGGAGAGCCGATCCTGCACTCTTCCAAGCCAGCCGGGTCTCGTCTGTCGTGATTGCTCACACGTTCCTTTTTACGCGAGGAAAACCACCACCATCCGATAAGCGCCAGCACTCCGGGAATGGCGAAAGGCAGTAAGGTGCGAAAGCGTAGCGCCATTCTGGAGATATTCAGCAATTACACCTAAAGCAGGAAGAAAGTGAAAGAAAGAATGGCACAATTAGAAAGTCTCTTCCGTTATTTGAGAGTGTTTAATCCTTACAAACTATTTCATAAGGTTCTCCCAATACAGTATTTTCAAACTTACGGCTCAATTCCAGGGTGGATTTGATTTAAATCAAATTAATACAATATTTTCAAATTTACGGCTCAATTCCAGGGTGGGTTTGATTTAAATCAAATTGATTTAAACCACGATTTAATTTTTTTTTTAAAAAAACTGGATTTTTTGATGGCTTAAATTTTTTTAATTTATTTAAATAGTGATTTAAATCACTGATTTTTTTACCCACTCTGTTCATCCCTAACATCTCACACATATTTTGCTTTTTCTGGGGGACCGTAAGATAATTTTAATTTCCCCATGCTTACAGACATTCCTTACATTGTGCAATTTCTTCTTTACAGTTGTTTCATCATTCTTTAAAAAAATTCACTGCTTTAATGACACTTCCACTGAGAACTTCTGTTGACCAGCATGGTACGTGTAATTTCAAAATGTATGCTAAAAGCAGCAAAGACCTTTATTATTCAAGTAGGCCTTCAGCAAGCAATCCTGCATGCTTTCCGCTCCTTGGTAGAAAAGCAGAAACAATGAAATACAATGCCTTTCATAGTTGGCAGTTTTGGAAGAGGTAGCTGTGTCGATCTGTGCAAGTGTATAAGGCAAAATCCAAACAAAACAAGATAAAAACGTGTGGCACCTTAAAGACTATTATTTTTTAACATGAGGTTTCGTGGAGAAATCTTTAAGTTGCCACGGCTTTGTCTTTTTTTTTTCATTTCATTTCATTGGACTTTGCCTGAAATTACATACAACGAAGCAAAATCAAATTAATCTGCCACCTCTCCTACCTAAAATGTCTGGGTAGTAACAGCAGCAAACCCAAGACAGCTGTTCCACCCAACCGAACCTTCACGGACGCACAACTTTAAGACAAAAGACACCTCAACTGGACACACAAAGCCAGGTTCACAAGCTGGGTTTGGTCACGGACTGTTACAGATTAGCCCGGGCACCGTAACAACTTCAACGTCACATGAGCAGCTAAACTAATCCTCAAGGGTCACGGCACAATACTGGTTACCCTGTGGCCTTGTTGCTACCTCCCGAGAACGGCTGCCTTGCCAGGATCACACCACGGAGGCTAGAAATACTACAAAAAAAGACTGCAGGTTTATCTCAAATAAAGCTAGGAGGACAGACATCATGATATGGGCCGTATAAATCTTTGGGTCGTTGCCGTATGGTCTGCTGATTCCAAGATGCAGTGTCAGGAATTACTGCGGAGAAGGGTCTGCTTTATATTCGAAGTAAGATGGGCACTCTTAGTTGCATTTTCCAGAAAGCCAGCATAAGCTCCGTTTGTTGGCTGCACTCCGCCATTAAAAGAAGAATATGCTCTATACCCCAGTAAAACGGAAAAGGTCTCATAACAGGCGCTAACTAGCAACTGGTAGAGAATAGGTGGTTGCATGAGCTGATTGGAAGGTCAGTCTCAAATGGGCAGCCTATTCAATGACATATACATTAAAAAAATTATTGGAGGTAGGCTCAAGCCCCTTAAGTATACATTTTCAGAAGGCTGTTGGCGACAGGATGCATCCCCAAAACAGAGAATTGCCAAGGTCTGCTTGTGTGTTTTGTGCTGTCAAGTCACCGCTGACTTATAGCCATATTTCTTAGGGCTTTCGAGGTAAGTGAGATCTTTAAGGAGTGGATTTCTTACCAGTTCCCCATCCCCAGTGGTGTTCTATGGCTGAGCAGGGATTCGAACCCTGTTCTCCGGAGTCTTAGTCCGTCACTCTATCCGCACCACCCTGGGGATCCACGCTCTACTTCCCCTCGCACCAATCATCCAAGCACTGCTGAAACCTGGGAGAGGTTGGGGAGAGAAAGTTCTAAGGCAACAAAGGTCTGGGGAAATGGACAGGCCAACGAAACATCAATAGAGCCGTTCATCTTTAAGGTCTCACCCCCTTTTTTATCTTCTTAACTTTTTAAACATTCCTTTTGTTTTGGCCTGAAATACAGAAAGGCTTGGTGACCAAAAGTTCTTGTTCTCCTTGCTCAAAAAGAAATGCTGCCTCGTGCCAGGATTGATTTCTCTGTGTATCTTTCCACTGTGGCACATAAACATAGCAAGCTGCTTTAAGAAAAAACCTACAACTCTCAGAAACACTGAAGGGTTGGTGGGAAATTAAGATTCCCCCCCCCTTCTACAACCCACTGCAAGTGACATTGCCCTCCTGCCCTGACAGAGCAAGGCGGTGGAAGTCCCCCTCCAGTTTCCAAAACTGGAAATGGTTAATTTTCAAAATGACTCGGGGGAAAGAGGAAGAGACTTAACAGGTCAATCATGAATCTTGGAGTCTTCCGAAATTACACTCTTCATTTTTTTTCCCCTTGCAATTCTTTTGGGGGGTGGGGAGGGGAACAGACGTGACTTATATGCAAGCCCGCCTTCGCTTCAGAACATAAAACATCTATCATCGGGGGAAAAAAAAGCTGGAAAAGTCATCGTCTATTAAAACACAACCGGGATCCTGAGATCCCCTTCCTTGGCCTCTTCTGCGTTTCTCTCATCATGCGCCAGGCACCTCTTTCAGCCAGAAAAAGAGTCTCACATACACTAACAATCTTCTAAACAGCTACCGTGAGATACACAAAGAAATAAAAAACCCACAGGGCTATTTTTTCGCTCAAAATGTCTGCAACGGTGGGTGAGGGATGAGAAGCATGCGTAACGGGTGGCATCACCACGAGCATCAGCCACGATCCAAAATAAATCAGAAAAACCATCGCCCTTGTGAATAATGATGTGCCTAAACTGGGCTTTTGCTGGGGAAAGAGAGTTGGTCCAAGATTGAGACAAATTTAAGGAGGTTCAGAGTCCATGCGGCTCAACATCTTCCTTGTCCGAGAGAGTTCCCTTGGAGTTATAAAAAGACAAGGCATGATGAATTCCTTTCCTTAACAGAGCCAAAAAAAAAAACAAACCCAGACCTTGCAGCTGGGAGTAAACTTAGCTGTCCATTCAATGCACAATGATTCTCACGGTTCACAAACCTCGATAGCATCTTAAAAAGCAGAGACATCACCTTACTAACAAAGGTCCGCATAATCAAAGCTATGGTTTTTCCTGTCGTGATGTCTGGAAGTGAGAGCTGGACCATAAAGAAAGCAGACCGCCGAAGAATTGATGCCTTTGAATTGTGGTGCTGGAGGAGATTCTTGAGAGTCCCCTGGACTGCAAGGAGATCAAACCTGTCCATTCTGAAGGAAATCAACCCTGAGTGCTCACTGGAAGGAGAGATCCTGAAGCTGAGGCTCCAATACTTGGCCATCTCATGAGAAGAGAAGACTCCCTGGAAAAGCCGCTAATGTTGGGAAAGTGTGAAGGCAGGAGGAGAAGGGGACGACAGAGGACAAGATGGATGGACAGTGTCACCGAAGCGACCAACATGAATTTGACCCAACTCCGGGAGGCAGTGGTAGGTTAGCTTTTCAAATTCTTTATTTTCAACTCTGCCCCCGCCCCCCCAGGAATTGCAAAGTCAATGATCCAGACATGTCTTTGTCCAACCACTACGATGTCTGGTGTGTTTCTGTTCAAGGAGTTTATAAGTTTGGTTCCGGAAATCCCACAGGATCCTGACCTCGTCGTTTGATGACGACCTTCTCTACCGGAGGTTCCCATGGGTTTCTGGAGGATTGTTATTGTGTGTTTAATGTATATACCACTCCACTAGAGTGCAGCACTATTCTGGGGGCTTAACAATTATGATAAAATCCAGCAGAACGTAATAAAGTAAAAAAATGAAGTAATGCATGTTACATACAGCACTGATGTTACCTGTCTGTCATGGGTTTGGAGGGAAAGTTCCATCCTATGGGGAGTGGAAGGCGGGACATCAGGGTACGCTTTCCCTAATACTGCAGTTTTTTATAACTATGATGGTGTTATTTCTGAGATCTGCAACTATTTATAATACTGTGTGAAATTTGATATTGTTCCCAAGGCCCCAATGACTACGGGGACCACAGAAATGTGTTTCATCCACAAGCGAGATGTTTTGATGACCAGGTCTCTGTACTAGGTTAGCTTTTCCAATTCTTTATTTTCAACTCTGCCCCCCCCTCCCCGGGAATTGCAAAGTCAATGATCCAGACATGTCTTTGTCCAACCACTACGATGTCTGGTGTGTTTCTGTTCAAGGAGTTTATAAGTTTGGTTCCGGAAATCCCACAGGATCCTGACCTCGTCGTTTGATGACGACCTTCTCTACCGGAGGTTCCCATGGGTTTCTGGAGGATTGTTATTGTGTGTTTAATGTATATACCACTCCACTAGAGTGCAGCACTATTCTGGGGGCTTAACAATTATGATAAAATCCAGCAGAACATAAGAAAGTAAAAAAATGAAGTAATGCAATCCAAAGGTTCTCGCTAAGTTGGGTGTGCACGGGCGCAATGACTCCACTTCCCTTTGTGTAGGGATCGCGTTAGCTTCTAGCTGGAACAGATCACAGCACATGGGAGGGCAGTCGCATGCACACGCAGGGGCGAAGCTGCGTGCGAGAGAGGCAGAATTAAGGGGTACGTTGATACAATCATAAAATAAAGAAAAAGACACAGCAGGAATTCCTTTCCTTAACAGATGAAAATCTGGGCAGTAAACAGCTGTCCGTTCAGACAGAAGCTCTTAGGACAGGTACATTTTAAAAAGCCATTTCTTAATCGAAGCCAGTCAATTTTCTAAAAACAAAAAAACCCACACCTCTCCTTGAATTAAAAATCCTTCTTTTGCAAATGAACAGCATTCAAATGGAATTCAAAAGGTACTTTACTTTTACTTTACTTTATTTAGATGCAGCATTCAAATGGAATTCAAAAGGCACTTTACTTTTACTTTATTTAGATTTATACCCTGCCCCTCTAGATAAAGTCTACTCGCCGCAGAAATGCTCCTCCAGAGAAAGGCCAGATTCCCTGCATGTAGAAACAACAAATGCTCCTCCAGTGAAAGGCCAGATTCCCTGCATGTAGAAACACAGGAGGTCAGGAAAAAGGTTAAGCTTGAAACTCATCTCTCCCGACATCTTTGTGGTCCAAGACCCAGGGAATACAGGAGGCACTTCTGCCACCAGAGTCCCCGTGGTATTTGACCCTTGAAGTAGCACAAGCCCAGTTACAGGGCGCATCATGGTGCGTCTTGGGAGAACAGCCAGCCTGGGTAGCCTTGGGCAAGCTGCAGAGCCCCAGAACTGCCCGCAGAAGAAGCGGATGGGAAACCACACCTGCGTACTTTCTACCTAGAACCCCTCCCCCCCAAAAAAGGGTCACCATAAGTCAGAACTGACTTGGTGGCACACAATTATTTATTATGATCAATCCACAAGGTTTCAGACATTGCATGATTAAGCTTAATACAGTGGACCCTCTACTTAAGGAATTAATCCGTATTGGAATGGTGGCT